GAGATCGTGCGTGTCGAAGCGCTCTCGCTGTGGCGCCATGCGATTTTTTTGCTCGCGAAATGGCCTTTGGAAGTTGTCTCGTGGTTTGCGCGCCTGCTTTTGCAATCCTGCGGTCGCGGGTTCGATTCTTCCCTGGTCCGCGGCAGCTCCGGCTTGAAAATCGCAGCTTTTCGGTACAAACGTAGTACGCGGAGCGTGCTCCTGCAGCTCCGGCTGGAAAATCACAACTTTTAAGTACAAACGTAGTATGCGGAGCGTGCTCCCGCAGCTCCGGCTGGAAAATCGCAACTTTCAAGTACCAAAAATAGTACGCGAAGTACATTCCCACAGCTCCGGCAGCACTTGCGCAGAGCAACTTGCGCAGAGTCACTTGCGCAGAGCAACTTGCGAAGAGCAACTCGGCAGAGCACTTGCACAAAGCACTTGCGCAGAGCAACTTGCACAGACCAACTTGCACAGAGCACATGCGCAACTGGCGCAGAGCACTTGCGCAGAGCAACTTGCTCAGAGCACTTGCGCAGAGCAGCTTGCTCAGAGCACTTGCGCAGAGCAACTTGCACAGAGCACTTGCGGGCAGCAGCCTGGAACAATGTAGCTTGCGCAGACCACTTTCGTGAGAAACCGCGCGGCGCAGTTCGTGCAAAGCACATTGCGCCGAGCAGACTCGTGCAGAGCCAACTTGCACAGAGCCAGTTGCGCAGAGCCACTCGCGAGAAGTAGCTTGCGTAGAGCCAACTTTCACAGAGCCAAGCTGCGCAGAGCCATCTTGCACAGAGCTAAGTTGCGCGAGCGTGCTTTGCAGAAAACTGTGGCCGTCGTGTAAGCTTTGCTATTGATTTCTTTTCCTTTTGTTTGTAATTCGTTTCGAGCTTTACGAGCTTTACTATTCTTGTTTTAACGGATGTAAATACCTGAGCCCTCCAAAAGTACTGAAATTTCCATACATGCCGAAAAAAACTGTCAATGTACACTTTTCAGGAAATTTGACGGAAATCGCTTTTAGCAGGCTGTGAGCGAGTGGGGCACATGGATGCACATGAACACAGTTTGCAATTTACATGGCCCGTCATACATTCCGTTTCAGGTCATTCGTCTCCTATTGCTGTGGGGCGACATGTGACAGCTTCCTTGCCGCTTTTGTGAGTTTGCAGTTTTCTCAGCCAAAATGTAGAAACAGGAAATGCACGGAAATCGGCGGGAAATGCACGGAAATCGGCGGGAAAAGTACGGAAATCTGCGGAAAAAGTACGGAAATCAGCGGAACGTTTGCTTGGCCAAATGCGCACCTTTTGTCCTTGGTGAATTGCACATCTTCAAACAGTTTTTCTTGGCCCATGAGCATGACAATCGCCAGTGCCAGCGCCGGAGCTGAACGTGATATTTTTGTAGAAAAAGTTGTTGAATGCTCCTATGTCGTGCGTTGAGCCTGCAAGAAAAGTACAGTTTTTGCTCAAACGCATGGATTTCAAGGAAATGCACGGATTTTTGCCGACAGTCGCAACAAAAAGTGCCCTTGGTTGGTCCAGGTATGTGGGATCGAGCACTGCCATGTTTCCTCTGGTAGGACGATGAGATGGAGCTCTCATGTGACCATGCACATTGAGCATCGCTGCGCGCAGACACGCTCGCCGCAGCGATGTAAAAAGGTGTCTCCGCGGCTGGATGAGCACCTGGGGAAAAATGCTTTCGGGCCAATCGTCCTCTAGTTTAAAAATAAAATAAAAAAACCTCGAAAAGCGAGCCCAGACATGAAACCTGACCTTCGGAACCCGGTCCCTTCAAAAATAGAAAATGTTGCAAACCAGGACCCCGCCCGAATGTCAGGTTCCAAGTGAAAAGGGTGTTTTGTCCGGTGTATACCGTGATAACCACCGTATCAGACGATTAAAAAAAACAAACTGCAGCATCACTTGCATGCAAAAGGCCCGGAAGAAACCGGGCCCAGGCTTGCCACGAAGGGCTTCAGAGACTTTTTGGCTTCACGACAAGGAGTTCCCGCTCGAAACTCGATCGAACAAAGACACAGTACCCCCAAAAGAAAAAGCAGACATTGCGGCGTCCCTTGCAGGTGTAGGTTACGTGCTTCCCCACATTCATTCGAATTCTGCGCTGGGTGTGAGACAAACATAGGCTAACCCCAAAATGAAACCCTGGTAAGTGGAAACATGGACCTTCAAACCTGCGGTCCATATGGTTTTTGTTTTGACCCATCTGAATCAGGTCTCATGGCCCGGGCCTGTGGCCAGAACTCGAAGTTCGCATCAAAGTGGCCTCGCTCAAAGTGGGGCTTCGCAGGTCTGGTTCCACGGGAAAAGGGGGGGGGTTCCCGGAAAGGAGCTGGGCGTGTCAAAATGTTGGAAGCCCGAGAAATGGCGGTCTTCCTTGTGGCTTCAAATTAAAATGAGAGCCCCTCCAGAGAAAAAAATAGCGCAGGGGGAATGTTGGGTCCAGGAGACATGGGGAAACTGGGAAGGGGAGGGAAAACAGGGAAACTGGAATTGTTGGGCTGTCTTGGATGGAGTTCCTGGCTGAAATCATGGATGGAAATCTTGGGTTCAGGGAAATTTCAGGCATGGGTTGTTGGAACGGAGATTACATACCACCACTGACACTTGGGACGGGCTTAGAAATGAATGTTTTTAGAAGAACTCGACATGACAAATTCCTGGTTCTGGCACATGTTGTCACACTGACGAGCCAAGAAAAAATAACTTGTGCGCACCCACATCTCCCCCCAAATGGCCCATGCATGATCTACTGCCCCTACTCCAAACACCCATTTTGGGGGGAAGTTGGGTATGATGCCAACCCCTGACTAAACCGGAGGCATTTGGAGTTGAACAAATGGGCTCCAAGTATTCCGAGCCTTCAGCGATCTGCTGTACATCGTCCGGCGGGTCGTTGCTGGGCTGAACCACCTCCACGTCAAATTTCAGGACCTGCAGTTGCAACCGATTGGGTGTCTTTTTTTGAGTTGGCACCGGTTTTGAAGTTCTTCAGAGGAAAGTGCTCACACCTCTGTGTTTCCCCCCGAAAAGGAGACACGCAAAATCGCAATCGGATTCCCGGGATTGCCCCCCCGCCAGTTCCTTAGTGCGTTCTGCGTTCCACCAAACAAAACACATCCCATCTAAACAAGAATCATTCAGGCAACCCTGAATTAATTGTGTGGATTGGTTGGGATTTGAACCCGTGGCTTTCTGTAGAAGGCAAACGCAAAGCCATTCTACCATAGCCCAAAGGCTCAGTTGCCAGAAAGGGATGGAAATGAAAGGTGATCACCTTTTGGGTAAAAGGTCAAACAAGTTGGAACCAAAAATGGTTGCCAAAAATTGAAAACCACAAGTGCAAAGGTTGATTCGCTTTGCGAAACTGAGCTAAAGGAACACACCCCGATTCTCCGGATTTCCGACCCTCTAGCGGCTTCAAAAAAGCACAGCCTTGGCTTTCAAGCCGCACTCCTAGCAGAACAATCAGGGGTCTCAAACAAAATCGGGGGGGGGTCTGGGAAACAAAGCGCTTCAGCCAAGCTGGGTGCATCTTTACGCCCTAGTCCTTTTGGAACAAATGGATAGACTCCATTAGGAAATTAGTGGAGTCAAGTGAAACCACTGGAACCCATTTACTCAAAGCCAAGCTGGCCAATTAAGGACATAGAAATGCCATAGGGATGTTCATGAGGCCTATCGCTCGTCTTGGGCGAAAGGCATTGCGGCTTTGGGCGGGCAACACAGGTAAGTCAAGCCAAACTTAGTGCACATGATTGGGCTGCTACTTGCACGTTTCTGTCTGGCCTCTTGTAGCAGGATGGCCGCCACGTCCGCGACCAAAGCATGGGACACCCATGATCGCTTCATGAGGCGTAGCGACATGCCCTGCCGGCCGCGGATCCAGGGCTCCACAGCAAAAACATTAAGGAACCCGAAATGGGGGGCTTTTCCAAGGAGACTCCTCTGTACATGATGCACATGACGTCTTGAAAGTTCCATGTTCGCCATCAATTTGAGGGGAGGGGTTGAAAGGAACTAGCCGCCTCAAAAGGAGCATTTCAATCCTTCCGGAAATCCGTTTAGGAAGGGAAACATGTTTGGTGGTCTGCCCTGATCGAAACACGCCCAGGTGGAAGTTGGCCTTGCCTGGTCTGGGCGCGGCAAGGAGTGGTTGGCATCCAGATAGCATGGGTAAGCCGCCGTCGCAAGGCCTGCGAGGCCGGACACGGCCAACAAAAGCCATGGCATCGAAAGCCTTATGCTTTGAGCCGATACAGCTGTCGGGCTGTCAGGTACGAGTCCCTGGTGCTTCCAGGAAGCCACTATCGGTAACCAAGGAAGCCATCATATAGATATAGGTAAGACATTTTTCTATACTTGCTATGGCCACTCGAATCTGGAAGTACTGGGTACAACCACATGGCTACAAAGAGCTCTAATTCACAAATGGATTTAAGGGAACCCCCCAAGTACAGGGCCATCAAGGGTGAGCTCGTTGTACCCCCGAATCAGAGAGCATGTTTCAACATTGCTCGTCCGCTCCGAAATCAGTTTAGCAAAAGGTAACACAAACTCTGGCCCTCGCAAACCTCAGGTTAAGCTCGCATTCGACCAATTCTACCTAAGATCTTGCTAGATTCCTGTGTCTTTTAGACCCTCAGATTGTTGTTGTCCTTTCGGTTTCCCTTTAAAGCCCACAAAAAAGGGGCCCTGATTTTATATATTATTACACTGACACTTCGAAATAATCACTGCAAAATACCTGGGCCCGCAAACTTGAAAGTACCACCCCGTCATGTTGGGCAATATTTCATGTAGGGCAGGGCGAGGGTCCAATCGCATGAACCTATGAAGTTCTGCAGGCATACCTGATCTTTTTGAAACAAAAGGACACTGATAAATGGAATAAAACCAATCTAAACCAGGTGGCACCCACCTATTTCTAACCAAAATAACCTGTAGTTCGCGGTTTGCGAGCTCGATTCGCTTGCTCAAACAGGCCGGCAGGGCCACATCCTCAGGGGTCTCACCGTCCTAAGCAGATCCAAGGCATCCAACCGGGAGCAAAAATGATCTGGATCTTCCTTGTTGACCCCTTCTGCCTTTGACCCACCAGGATGTCGCATGGATCGCTGAGCCAATCATGTGAGCAATCAAAGATGAGGGCGTTGCCAACGTCGATGCGGATCAAATTGAAGCCAAATTGGGTCAAATACATGTATACACGAAGTCAGTTCGGGAATCTTCCAACCACTAAAGTCCAAAAGACGACCGTTAAAGTACTTTTCGTAGCCTTCGACTGATCTGTAGGTGTCAGGGAACTCGCCACGGACGGCTGACAGCCACAGGTGCCTCTGGACGAGGCCTAAACCGGACCCTACGGGCGCAAAGGTGATTGCCTTGGCCTCGGTACCTCAGTAGTAGGTGTCCAAGCAGGTGCCGTTGATGGAGTTACCTCTCTTGAAGTCCTGTAGCTCCAGGCCTGCTGGCTGGAAGGCTGCCAGCTGGGCATAAGGCATCTCGCCATAGATCTGCGCCTTCTCCGGACCTTCGGTCACATCGAAGCACCGATACTTCACCACGTGGCGCTCCTTCCCCCACGGCAATGGCTTGCAAGGGTCGAACATCACGAAATACATCTCCCCCTTCTCGAAGCCGCAGATGGCGTTGTAGGCCTTTCGGACGCACTCCCGACTGGCAATCCATCCAGTGCCCAAGGAAAAGCCAAAGACCTCAGGGTCGAAAAGTACCAAGGAAACCTACTGACTAAAGAATAGTTTATATAGTTTGGATAGACTCTTAGGAGTTCTGAGGAACCCATGGGTATGTAACCAAAACTCGTTTTATCCTCCCACCTGGTTCTGGTAGGACTCGCTGTGCGTGAAGAGCACATCATCGATGTCCCAACCATTATCCTTGCAAAGTTGTTCCATGATGGGCACGAAAGGCCGATAAGCTGGAACCGTCATCATGAGACCCGCAATAAAGTAGTCCCAATACTGCATGGTGCGAATGGACTGCTGCGTAGGCAATCCAATCCATGCAAACCAAGAGTACAGCCACACTCCATTGTTTCCAACAAAAGGGTCTTCAGTGGTCTTCAGCTTCTTGTGTTTGGGGAGCCCTTTCTTGTGACACACGTACCAGCTGAAGCGCCAGTTGCCCATGTAGGGACGATAGGCCAAGAGGAACGGTGTGAGGCATGGATTCAATTGCCCCACCACGGGAATCACAACGAGGACGAGCAGTAAGAATGCTCTGAGGGCAGGAGAAGTGGGGAAAGCAAACTCATGGGTGCAAAAGAGGAAGTACGCGAAGATCATGCAAGTGTAGTTCCACTCGAACACCGATGCAAATGGCATACAGGCACCGATGAAGGCATGATAGCAGATCATGCCATAGGCGCCCAAATGGCGAAGGAAGCACACCGAAGTGCTGCAACAGAAGGGGAAGAAGATCTCCAAAGTCGCACCCGTATAAGCCAAGACTGTCGACAAATTGCTGGGGTTCAGATCATAGGGGTAGTCTTTGACCAGCAACTTGCACATGAGGCCTTTGGGCAAAAGCCATGTGTACACTGAGTCCTTGGTGATGAAGGGGACGACCGGCTGGAACCAAGGCCCGATCTTGCCAACGCCTGCCCAGCTCCAAAGTGCCAGCTGCACACATTGCCAGCCGCGCAGCCAATCGGGAAACAGCAAGCACACCAGGAAGTAGCCGTAGTGCTCTCCCCTGCTGGCGCTGAAGATGTTATAGTCAAAGACCGTGCACAGCGCCAAGAGCAGTGTGGGCACCAATGCCTGCGGCTCGGGCGTCAAGAGCTCATGGAAGAGCGACACGGCATAGGCAGCAAAGAGCAGCACTGCCAGCAGGGAGCGACGCCCGGGCACGGGAACGAGGTAGGAGACCAGAGACGGAAAGAGCGGAGAGCAAACGGTGCCGGGCCACAGGAAATGGAGCCCAGTGCCCCCCACCGCCACTTTGAAGCGCTGACCCAGGAAAGACGAGGTAGCACCAAAGCCCAAGATGGAATGTAAGATGCTGTAAAGCAGGAAGCGCTTCATGTTCAAGTCGGACAAGAAAGGTTGTGACCAATCCAAAAAGATGCGAACACCTGCCCACCACAATGCTCCGATGCAAGCATAGGTTGCTATGAAGGCTGGAATAGGCAAACAACCGTTGTCCCGAAGGAACTTTTCGTTACAAATCCTGATGCGTTCGCGGAAACTCATCCTTTCCCAATCATCATCATCTTTCACGGGGAACTCTGTCACATTCAGAAAGCCAGGCCCTTCTCCCAAATCTTTGTCAGATACCAGCGGTTTCTGCATCACGGACATCGAGTTCCTGCTTTGAGCCCGGGAACTGCGCGTCAGAGACGCCCTCAAACCAAGGCAGGGTCGATGGACTCCACCCAAATCGCGGACAAAGATTTCATGTGCCAGTATGTAGCCACCTTGTCGGGTATACACCCGCTTCCCTGTGGCAGTCGTTTGGCGGACACGTGACCCGGCAGGTTTTGCATGGACTCTCAGAAGAAACATCCAAGCAAATGTGTGGTTGCAATTGTTGGTTTCATACTTGCATATTCATATATCATAGCTGCTATAATGTAAATTGTATATATGTGAGTATCTCTCTATATATATATATATATGTGTTATATGTATATCTATGCGTATACACATTGTACTTGTACACACCTGCACCTTCATTTGATCACTTATTTTTTCTCGATGTGGTTTGTCACACTTTTTCCGGCCGACTGAACAAATATGGGCCGGTTGGGCCGAGTTGGAAAGAAAATGACCGATTCTATGGAAAAGGGTCGTGGCTATTCTTGCAGGCTGTTGTTTTGCATGGACGGCCCGCAACTGGCTTGCCATGCGGGTGTGCCCTACCTGGACAATACTTCTGGATTGAAACCCGGCAACAGAGCTGGTTTTGTGTGATCCTGCAATTCGAGATTTGACCACTTTTTGAGATTTGCATCCGTGTGCAAGTTGTTGCGTCCGTTTTGCGGGTTTTTGCGCCCGATTTGCAGCATTTTGGGGGCGCAATTTTGCGCAAAAACTGCAAATGGTCAGACCAAAGGCCAATTCTTGCTTTCAATTCCTGTCCCTGTGCTGGCTCCACTTCTTAACAACACAAAATTCAGGACTTGCAACAAGGCTAGGCGGTGCCTAGAGCCGCAGGCTCAGCTGCCCCGAAAATGCTTCACAGGTAGGAAACACACTGTTTTTACAAAAAGTGCTCGTTTCTCAGAAAGCTGCTCGATTGTGACAACGACCAGTTTTGAAGGCCACTTCCAGAAAAAGTAAATGTCCCAATTAAACAAAAAAAAGTGACCGCTTGACGCTGCAGGCAGACGTGCGAACAACCAATTGGCAACTCTTGCCGATTTCCCTCCAAAGCCATGCGCCACGCACGGGTCGTAGCAAGCGAAGGCTGAGGAGCGTGCCTTCGTTTTCAGCAAGGCGTCCGCGGACCAAGTCTGGATGCAGGTGGCAATAAATTCGGTGAAGCAACCAGGCTGGCCCCTTGTTCAAAGAAAACTGGTGGAATCCATTTGGGGCACCCAAGATCTTGTCTAGCGAGTTGGTTGCAACATTTGTTTAAACAACCAAACCCTGGCGCCCTCTAGTGGCGAACCACAAGAAGGTTGGTTCAACCAGGACTTAAACACGCAATCCATGGTCCTTAAAGAAAATCGAAGGAAGGTTGTTGAGCCAAGGTTCAAACATGTTTAAAAGCGTCTGGCCCAACTTCCCGGAGTCCGGTGGGATTGAAAATGGAAGTCGGTGAAATGCACTCAGGCTCAAAGGACTTGGGAGCAACAAGTTTGCCTTGGACCTGAGCCACAAAGTTGGCATATGGCCATGGGTCCAAATCGCGTACCTTCAGTGAACATCCCAATCCCCACTAAAATAGACTAAAAAAAATAAAATGGCTGGTGCACCTAGCCCAAAGTGGTACCATTGGTTCCCACAGCCATATGCCAAAGAAACAACCTGTTTTCGTGGCTTCCTTGTTGGCTTCCCTTTCAACCAGCGTTAAAAAGGGCAGCCTTTGAGCAAAACACCCCGCCACATGGGAGGCCAAAAGGAAAACCGCAAGCTTGAAAGAACGGTCGATTCGCTTTGGACCTGGCTGATGTTGTCTTTGCACACCGCCAAAGAAGGGGTCCCTCAGAAAAGACACACCCCAACTGATCAACAACAAAAGCTTGGGCTGGTCATGTACACTTAGCGAGGCAAGCTCGCAATCGCAAATCACTGCGTTTTCAAATCGCTGTGGGTTCAAAGCAGGGAATCGCAAACGCAGCGATTTCAAATCGCTAGCTTTGAATCGCTGCTTAGGGGACGCAGAAAGCATTGGTTTTGACATTGCCTTGCTTTCTCTGCACGGGAGAAGGCCAAAAGTGATATCTGAAGCCACAAGCTTTTGCGTCTGAAGGATCTTCCTGGATTCCCAGTCGCCCTCTGAATCGCTGCTTCGGCCTGCAACTATTGCAGACATTGGAACACTCCCAAACCCATTTTCCCCAGACGAAAATCGTTTCTAGAGCCTTGCCGCACCTGCCGACTCTCTGTCTACCCAGCCAAACCACAACCACAAAAGCAAACATCGCTCGCAAACCCATTTTGCCTTACCCTGATGAAAATCGTTTTCTGCTTCGACACCCCACCATATCCAACCAAGCTTAGCACATATCCCCTGAAACTAACTACTATTCCCCAAATCGCTGCGATTCACCTTGGGCTCGCAGAAATCGCAAATCGCAATCGCACAAATCGCCGCGTTCCCGCCGCGCCCATGTACACCACCAACAAATCCATGCCTTTTTGGGCAATTTGGAGTGCTATGATTGGTTCCCTCACTTTGACAGAACCTGGCACCCAGCAAACGAGGTGGAACCACACGCTACTTGGGTGTTCGGTCAAGTCCGCCGACATTGCTCGGCGTGTCGGATACTTACTAGAGGATAGAGGATAACCCCCCCCCTAACCCCCCCCCGCCCGACGTCTATTACGTAGGTTTTTGGGGGGGGGGGGGTCCCCCACGTACCGCGCGGCAATTTGATGACGTTCCACTAAACGTAGTCTTCGGGGAGCCGGTGTCGCAAAACAGGGGTCCCAGGCTCGATTCCCCCTGCCGGCTTTTTTGCTGGCTTGGGCTTCCTGCATCCTTTTGCCGAAAATCTGGAAAAACTCAATGTTTTTGGACGTCCTCTTTGCGAAAACGCTGGAAAAACCGTGTTTTTTTTGCGGGAAATACTGGGGAGCAAAGGGGAAGTGCAAGGATACATACATACATACATACATACATACATACATACATACATACATACATACATACATACATACATACATACATACATACATACATACATACATACATACATACATACACATACATACATACATACATACATACATACATACATACATAAAAACTCAATAACATACATACATGCAAGGATACATACATACATACATACATACATACATACATACATACATACATACATACATACATACATACATACATACATACATACATACATACATACATACATACATACATACATACATACATACATACATACATACATACATACATACATACATACATACATACATACATACATACATACATACATACATACATACATACATACATACATACATACATACATACATACATACATACATACATACATACATACATACATACATACATACATACATACATACATACATACATACATACATACATACATACATACATACATACATACATACATTACATACATACATACATGCATTACATACATGCATACATCACATACATACATACATACATACATACATGCATACCTACATACATACATACATACATAACATACATTCATAGATACATACATACATTACATCATGCATACATACATACATACATACATACATTACATACATACATACATACATACATACATACATACATACATACATACATACATACATACATACATACATACATACATACATACATACATACATTACATACACATTACATACATACATACATACATACATACATACATACATACATACATACATACATACATACATTACATTACATTACATACATTACATACATACATACATACATACATACATACATACATACATACATACATACATACATACATACATACATACATACATACATACATACATTATACATACATACATACATACATACATACATACATACATACATACATACATACATTACATACATACATACATACATACATACATACATACATACATACATACATACATACATACATACATACATACATACATACATACATACATACATACATACATACATACATACATACATACATACATACATACATACATACATACATACATACATACATACATACATACATACATACATACATACATACATACATACATACATACATACATACATACATACATACATACATACATACATACATACATACATACATACATACATACATACATACATACATACATACATACATACATACATACATACATACATACATACATACATACATACATACATACATACATACATACATACATACATACATACATACATACAACATACATTACATACATACATACATACATACATACATACATACATACATACATACATACATACATACATACATACATACATACATACATACATACATACATACATTACATACATACATACATACATACATACATACATACATACATACATACATACATACATACATACATACATACATACATACATACATACATACATACATACATACATACATACATACATACATACATACATACATACATACATACATACATACATACATACATACATACATACATACATACATACATACATACACACATACACTACATACATACATACATACATACATACATACATACATACATACATACATACATACATACATACATACATACATACATACATACATACATACATACATTACATACATTACATACATACATACATACATACATACATACATACATACATACATACATACATACATACATACATACATACATACATACATACATACATACATACATACATACATACATACATACATACATACATACATACATACATACATACATACATACATACATACATACATACATACATACATACATACATACATACATACATACATACATACATACATACATACATACATACATACATACATACATACATACATACATACATACATACATACATACATACATACATACATACATACATACATACATACATACATACATACATACATACATACATACATACATACATACATACATACATACATACATACATACATACATACATACATACATACATACATACATACATACACATACATACATACATACATACATACATACATACATACATACATACATACATACATACATACATACATACATACATACATACATACATACATACATACATACATACATACATACATACATACATACATACATACATACATACATACATACATACATACATACATACATACATATACATACATACATACATACATACATACATACATACATACATACATACATACATACATACATACATACATACATACATACATACATACATACATACATACATACATACATACATACATACATACATACATACATACATACATACATACATACATACATACATACATACATACATACATACATACATACATACATACATGTACATGCATGCATACATACGAGAGAGGGAGAGTGGGGAGAGAGAGGCTTGGGGGGATGGGGAGGATGGGAGCAGAGGGAGGGAGAGAGGACGACAGAACACACGAGGGAGACAAGGAAGAGAGGAAGAAGGAGAAAAGGGAGAGGACAATGTCGGCGGACTGAGCCGGAGGCTCTAAAGTTTGTATGTTATTGGTACCCCAGGTTCTAACCCACTTGAGCCGTGCCGAATACTCGTGTAAAAAGCGTCCTATGAACTTGCTTTCGCGGAGACGCTTTCGCAATGTTTTTGCGACCCAATGTTTTGCTTTCGCGGGCTTCGTTTTCTTTAGAATTGCTTTCGCGGCGCTTTCGCGGCGGACTGTCACACCGCATCACACCGCATCATCATCAGCATGCAGACTTTCGCGGGTCTTTCGCGGCGGGACCTTCTTTAGTTACTTTCGCGATAAGCTTTCGCAGGCTTTCGCGGCCTGCGTTTTGGCTTTCGCGGGGATTCTATAGGACACCCCCCCTTACTACTTTGTATTGTCAGGGTTTATGGCGCTACTCACTTCTGAGTCCCCGTTGGCTTAAATGCTCTTGCCCTTGTCGGACCTAGACATGCTCTCTTCACCTTTCACATGGACCTGGCAAGCCAAAGGTCAGATCCCGTCGATTCGCTTTGCGCGCGCCAAAAAGTTCAGCGACGCCGGGCACCTCTACGAGCTCTCGCACAATGCTGGCGTCTCCGTGGTAGCAGGCCTCTTTTTGGCAGTTGGCTCCGTTTCGGTTTGTCTTTCTGTTTAGGCGACCCCCCCCAAACTGGTGGATTTCCTTGAGATCTCGCCTGAAAACTACCCAAAAAGCGGGCATCATGAAAAAAGACCCCATTCGTTGATTACCCAAAGGTAGACACAAATACCCAGGGATGTCCATGAATTCAAGTCTAACTTCTGGTTCTGGCACAATATTTGTAATTTTCATGTCCCATTTGAAGCGTCAGAGCCAGAAAGGAAAACCCAAAGGGCATCCATGTTTTTGTTAACGGGTTGGTAGCAATTAAATCGGCAACACCATCTTGAAACGTTTCCCCAAGTACTCAACCCCATTTGGGCAAACCCACTTTGAGTGCTTTAAATGGAAACCAAAAGGACACAAACCATTTTGAGGGTTCCCTTTGTTTGAGACACCAACTTGGTTGCCTCCTTTGGGTAAATCTGATTTGAGGTACGGTTTGATGCTAGTTGCTCTTTGGCTTGACCTGCACCTTTTCGCTTTGCTTCCCTTTAGCTTGAGACCTGGGGGCCAACACCCGAATCGTTGCGGCTTGAGCGTCGCTCCTTGGAACATACCACATAGGTGTGCTAAGTACATTAAGACCCCGAAAAACGATGCTGGTGTTCCTGAAGGATTCCGCTGAAAAACCAACCAAAAGGGGGTTCTTGAAATAGTTGGACACGCTCACATACACATGCCTCACATCTTCGTGGAACTGGAAGTGGCAGCCTTAGGACACTCGCAGAAAGAGTGTCTGATGTCTTCTTGTTTGGCACGAAGACCTGTGGGTGCATCTCTGACTAGTGGAACCCTCTCAAAATGGGACTTGTCCGTTTGACTTCACTTTGAAATGGCCAGCAAACAGGGTGCTTAACAAACCCCTGCCTGATGAATGGCCGCGTAGCGCCGGTATGGCGGCCGCATATTCACCTAAGATCGTGGCTCAAGGGGTACAACGCCTTCGGCCCGTCAAAGAATTTCCCCTAGAACATCACGCCTGCCAGGGGAATGTCGCCTTACATGGGCGAAAAAGGTGATGTTCCAAACTGCACAAAGGTGGAAAGAAATGCAGGCATGCCGATGGATCCCTGTCACTTCTGTGCCAATTGCAAAACACAAAGAACCAACCATCAAGTGCGGTTCATACTTGGGCTAACAATGTGTCTTTGGACCGCACATGCATGGGCAGCCGGATGGATGGGTCTCTATTGACCCTTTCCAGGTTGCTCAATCAAAGGGAAGCCAACGCCGAACCCATTTTGGGGGCGTCTTTATTTGACACAACCAAATCCAAGATCAAAGTGTTGCCCAGACTTCCCTGCAGGCTGTCAGCTGGGCTCGGCGCGTAGCCGGGATGTCGGCCCAAGATCTCCCGCAACGTGTCCCACTCAGCTTCTTTGGCTGCACTGATGAAGTCCTGGCTTGACTTATCACATCCTGGAACATATGGCCATGGGTCCAAATCCAAATCGTACCCCCAGTGAACATCCCAATCCCCACTAAAAAAGACTAAAATGGGTGGTACACCTACCCCAAAACGGTACCATTGGTTTTGACCCACAGCCATACTTTTTGCAACCTGCTATTTCAAGGCGAGGGTCCTACCCAAAACCTCGTAAAGAATCACGGCTATCCGCAACGCCTCCTCCAAAGACCCAACTCGTGCAAATAAAAACAAGGAGTCGAAGCTGGGGCTAAATGTGTCTCCCATGGGCCATTTTTGTTCACTCACCACCCCAGATTCTAGGCGAATGACTTCGTCCCAAGAATCTAGGGACCCCCTAAGGACCCCTGACTTCGTTTTACACCCCGAAACAGCTCGCTCGTGTCTTCCGGATCGGCTCGAGAAAGAAACTAAAACGCTGGCTCGCTCGAGGAGCTCGAGCGCGAGCGCTAGCTTCCAACGTCGAAGTCCTCTAGCTCCGAAGTGTCGGGATCTTCTGGGACCACCTGAGACTCGATTCATTGTCCCTGGGCAAAATGTGCGGCCAAAGACCCTGGCCCCTTGGAGCAAAAAAACGAAGTGCTTAAACACTGGCTTCCATTTGCCAACAAAATCCTTGAAAACAAAGCTCCGGTGATAGATCCCCAGAATTGCCGCTGTCACCGGGGTACTCCCCAGTGCCGATTTCTGGAGGAATCTGGGGTTCGTTCCCAGCGTTTTGGGCAGAAACGACACCTGCGTCAATGGGATTGCAGATGGGGACAAAGAAAATGAAGGCTGTCCCAGAGAAGGGAAATTGGATCCAAAATGATCAGCTTGGGCTTCAATTCAACAAACCACCAAAAACCCACCAAACCACCAAATAAGGGTGGCCAGAAATGACACTGAACCCCACACAAAAAAGGGTAAACAATCTTTAGAGGGATCTCGTTTTGCCAAGAGGGCCGCAGAAACTCCTCAACAACCGGCCTTCTTTGCCTTCTTTGCCTTCTTTGTCTTCTTGGCCGCCACTGACACGCCTGCTGTGGAAGCCTTGAGAGCAGCCTCAGGCGGAAGCAGATGGCAACCAATCGGACACGGAGAAAACCAAAACCCAGACCCCAGGTGATGTCCAGAAACATTGTCTGTTGCTCGTATCGGCGTTTTTTTCTTGAGGGTAGACCTTTTATTCTGGTTTTAAAGGGAAACCAAAACGAACACCGCCATTTTGGGGGTCCCCTTCAAAAAGGGGCACACACACACACACATGCGGGGAGGACAAAAAAAAAACCGGCCTCTATTGGGACCCATTCCTGGCCGCAGAATTCGCAGGGCCCCGAGTTCATGTCCAAAAAAAGAGTTTAGCCAACCCCAATCTGGAATCTTCCAGAAATACAAGGTGAGCGTTTTAGGGTCATAAGTGAAACATGCACCAATAAAGGAAAACCAGAAGGTCAAATGGTCGGCTTTGGGCAAGTCAGTAAAGGGTGCCAACTCCTTGCAGAACTCTTGGGGATTCAGCCTGGACTTAAACGAACAAAAGATTCAACCGAGTCACAATCGAATCCTGGCCTTGAAGTGGCCCTTCCAACAACAATGCAAAGAGCCTACATAATTAGAATCGGATTGGGGGATACTGACTAAAGAAACACATTTAGTCATAATTGCGGGGGTGAACCATTACCCTCCCGTCCACTAACACGGACCCTGACAAAGGCCTCTGGTGGGTCCATTTTGGTGGACCGGAGGGCAGCAAGTAAAATGTCTGCCCCTTGCGCCTGAATCTATTTTTTCGGCTCAACTCTGCCACCACCGCGCCTCCTCTTCCGGCGTGGGTGGTGGGATGCTCGTCCACCAGGCGGGCATTCCTTTCCTGCCAAACACAGGGTTCACATTTCCTTTGGGTGGCTGGTTTTTGTTTTCGTGTCCCTCAAAAAGCCACCAGGCCAAATGTTCCCCATGACTTCTTTTTGGTTTCCCTTGCGCTCAAAAACCCAACCAGGCCAAGATTCCCCATGAATTCATTTTAAGCATCACCTTGGGGAGCCTACGGAGGAGGCGAAAAATTGGCACGAGCAAGCGATCGGCTGGTGAGCTCACCTGTTGAGCCCTAGTGGAGAAACCATCCGTGAAAGGGTCCCTTCGGGTTTTGTCTGAGGAACGGTGAAGGTAAGTATAGTGTTGGACATACACTTAGAAACAACACGTGTTTCCAACTTGCTTGATACCTCTCTTGAAAAAAAGGGCAAACCCCCGGGAAAAAGATGGGGGGGGGGTTATAAAGAAAATCATGGGTGAAGAGAATGAAGGTCATAAATGCCAAGCTTGGGTGAGGACATTGGTTGTCCTCGGAAGCATCCGACAAGCTTGTTACGGTTTCAGCGAATGTGCAGGAAACTTTCGGATCGATCCCACGCAGGCTTCCCTTCGCTCGCAACTCGACGCTGCCCACAGCAAAAAAAAAACGTCACGGTGGACAGGCAGCCAATCCTCGGTATATCAACAAAACAATAAATAATCGGAACAAACACACAAAAATAGCCAAACAAACAACAAGCAACAATACCAAGAACACTGATACCTCCACGACTCCCTTCCGAAAGCTTCCAAAACAGACATGAGACTAGCAGCCGCGCCTCCATTCCCGCTTGTCAGGTATGTCAATGCCGAGCCTCAAACGCGGCAAAGGCGGTCCCGTGTGTGAAAGTTCACTGAAGCCATCTCTCGCAAGGACCTGCGGAAAGAAGCGAGCCTCTGCCGTGGACCAATGGAAAACTGAAAAGTCCCAAAGGGTCGATTCGCTTTGGATTGAACAATCGCTAGCTCGAAGCGTCCAAGCTTCTGAACCCTCATCACTGGGCCTGGACACGTCCGGCTACAATGACCTGAGGGCCACACGGAATGCCAATGGTGTGCTTGTCCGCCCACAGCACGAATCTCGGCACGGCTTTCGAATGCTACAACATCATCCAGCAAGGCAGGCCTACACCATCATCCTACAACTGGGGTGTCACTTGTCAACGTTTCGCAAAGCATGATTGCCACAGCAAACATCTGCAAATGTACAATGATTCCAACGCCCGAGGACTACCGTGAGCTAGTTTTACCAAAAAAAAACTCGCCACGAAAAAGGCACATGATCCTGGCTCGGGGGTCAAGGAAATATCGAGCCAGAAATGGGACAGGCCGCTCTTCTTGCTTCCGTATCACCCAACATGCTTACTCCGCGATACTGTGATAACGAATCCATAGCAGCATGAGATCACAGTTGTGGAGCTTAAATCTATGTTGAGGTCGGTCAACTGCGTGGAACGTGCGCAGCAGTCCATGACATGATAGCCTGAGTTGGCGTTGGGCGTCTTGCCATGGTGGTGCTTATGCCCCAAAATTTCGGCACGAGTTTCGCATACCATTCCTCTGGTAGAGGAACCCTAGGTTCAGAGGCATTCTGATATTGGTTCAACACTCAATACTGATAAGAGGTTTTATGGCCGCCCCTGGCTGATAACCACTCACGATGGCTCTAGTCATGATTTAAGGAATGTCTCCCCATGGAAATCAAAGGATTTGACATCAACAACAACACTGCTTGCCAAGCGTCTCTGCAAAGGACACCAGATTGTTGGCATCGAAATCAATGGCCTCGCGTGCATTTCGGCTAAGCAAGCGCTTGGCTTGCCGTCTTCTTTTTGCATCTCTCCCTTCAGCTCGCCACAGCCGAAACAGAGATCGATCAAAGGGGTCCACGGGTGGTCTAACGGCTTCCCGGCCACCGACAACTAATTACTGAAAAGCTCAAAGGCGAGCGAAGCTGCTATGCATCAAGGACCCTACAGCCCGCACACCACAGATCCTGACCCAAGGCTTCGGGGCTAGAAATGCCTTGGTGAAGCAAGCTAGGAAAAAGCTTCCACCAGTTGTTTGCATCAGAGACCCCGCACTCCCCAAAGGGTTAGGCTCTATAAGCAGCTTTAAAGCTAACTGAGGCCATTTCAGTTCAAATTAGGCCAACGATTGGGAAAGTCTTTGTAGGGTCCCTGATTGAACTGTGATTAGGTCCCATCGTCTCCCAAGATCAGGTGCTTGAATAGCTTGGCATCTGACCAAACTCCTACATATTGCTTGTACATGCATGTATCGATTTCACGTACACACACACACATACAGTCACAAATACACGTATGCAAGTGAGATTAACTATGCGATTTTCTCACGTGCTTGAGTTCTGTCTCTCCCTCGGATGGCCCTTACACCATATCCCTACATGAATGTGTCTTCAAATAGAGGGCCCCCCAATGCTGCTTCTCCCTTTGGCTTCCCTTCCAAAGAACCAAAGGGTACCTTCAAAAGACAACACACACACACACAGTTCTGGTCCTTGAGGGTATCTCAGAAACTCTGGCAGGTTCGATGTCAAGGAGAGGAAAGGGAGCCCTGCAAAGCTCACTTGCCCAAATGCTGCCGGTGAATTTTGCCCGCAGAAGAAATGAAACCGGGATCCCTATGTTTCTCCAAGCATCAAGAGGAAATCACTTCACCTGGGCCAAAAGAGCGATTTTATCATCCGCATTTGATGGTTAGCACCCCACGCTTGTAACCCCTTGCCACAAGTTGGACAAAGGGCGTGCGACCGACCGGAAGGCGCCGCTCGACCGAACGGCCCCGCCTTCATCTCTTTGCTGACGACGTCGGGCTCCAAAGCCAGGAACTCCGCGAGCTTGCTCATGGCCTGGCGATGTTCTTGTGTTTCCTTTTTCTTTTTTCTTCTGAAGTCGACCATTTACTGGTGAGATCTGTGGCTCACTCTGAGCAGGACCTGGACATGGCTGGTTGACCTTGTGTGAACATGACTAAATATAGAGAACAAGGGAACACACAGTACAAGGTGGGCAACCGACATTGGAAGTGCCACTTTTGGAGGTTCCAAAACGTGAAGGAAACCCTGTTGCAACATGTCACAAGCGGGAGTTGGACAAACACGGAGTTCAATGTTCCTGTTGCCCGTGCAAGACTAAAAGGGCTACAGGGGCTGGGCCCCTTAATTGGCGACACCTCTTAATTGGCGACACCAATCGAATGTAGTTTAAGCAGTTTGGTGGCCTAAGCATACGGTCTGGGTATTGTGTCAAAATAGGACAACAAGTAAGAGGTGTTGATACCCAAAAAAAAACGCACGCCCATATTGTCAAAGACTTTGGCCTAAGCCTGCCTTCATGTCCGTGACGTTCACGTACCCAAACCTCACTGGGTTGCTCCCCTCCGACCCGTTTTTGGCGGAGGAAACCAATGGCTGAAGGGTAAAGGGAAAAAAGGGGCAGAGGAAAACTTCAAATCAATCTTCTACCGGTGAGTCAGTTTGGCCATTCTGTCATCTTCCAAGGGCCGATTTTAGCGCTTCCGCAGTGGGAGACAAGGGGAAGCACCTTTTGGTGCTGAACACGGGGAAGCCGCTTGGTTTTTCAAGGGAAACCAAAGGAAAGCAATCGCGGTGACAGCTGGCTTGCTCAATGTTGCAAGAATCGCGTGGACGGGAGGAACACGATGAACACGGAGCCGACAAAAAAGGTGTCCCTCAAAAGGAGGCTCCTCCAACAAAAAGATGGGTTTCTGAGGGTTCCTTGGTATCTGTAGGGGTTTCTATCTGAGGCATTCCTCGTTAAAACTCGGAAACGGATAGCGAAGCTTCCGAGTCTCCAAAACAAAGGGACCTGTTGCTGGTGTGGGGCTTTGGTCTCTGAGCTGGGTGAAAATCAGACATGTTTGGAACTGACAATGGTAATGTTCACTTCGGATTGATCAGGAGAATCATACTAATCAGGGGCAGTTATAGCCTTGTAAGGACACACATCTATTCTAGGGGGCTCTTTTTGACGAGTGGTTGATTCATCTTGGCGTCTTGGTTTTCGGAAGTTGGCCCAGGAAAAGGAAGACAGGAACTCAACTTGCAAGTTTCTACCGTTTTGGTTTAAAGAAAGTTGGTCCCTTGCTCGCACAAGGGAAACATACTGCGTGTACCAAGGTTGTGGCCTTGTGGTTTGTTCATTTTGAGATCAGAAACCAAAGGTTTGATCATTGATGCAACATGTTGGGCAAGCAAAGAGCTGGGTGCGGCTCAAAAATAAAAAATTGCAAACCAACATGGAACTCTGGCAAATGGACAAGTAGACTGAAATCTGAGATCCCTTGTCTCCTAAACTTTGAGCCACGTCCAACTGATTGGAAGTTAACGCAAGTGAACATCTGCCACGCTCTAGCTCCATGGTCTACCAAACCCATCTGCCTGTCTTGGCCATACTGACCTCTCAGGTGCCGGCTGATTGGCTTGAGCATCGTAGCCTTCCTCAAATCGCATGAAGCCCGGTGCGTCTCAAAGGATCAAGGGCCCCTGGAAATATGCGGGGGGGGGGTGTGTGTGTGTGTGTGCTTTTTTTCGAGTTGGTACTCCGTTTTGGTGAGTTTAAAGGGAAACCAAAAGGACTACCAACAATTTGGGGGTTCCCGAAAAACAAACACGCAACCTTACGGTGGTGTTCCTTTCAGCTTCCCCTTAATTAACCAACGTGAAAGGGGCACCCTCAAAAATCACCACTTCCGGCGAATATCAGTTCTTGAGCGGTGCTTTGCAGGCCTTGGATTTGAAAGCGCGATGCAACCGGCGCAGGTGCCCGCTTCTGTCAAGCAGGAGCAGGGTCTAACCGAAGAAACTGGGGGTGGATCAAAACAAGATACCCCAAATGGAACCCTGGTACATGTAACCAAGGACTAAAATCTGTGGTCTCCTCCTGCTGGTTTAATTTGACTCATACCCAACTGATGAGCACGCCTGTCCCAGCATGCTGTGCAAACCAAGCGATCGAATCGGATCAAGCGATCCCCGCTGCCGCACTATTGCCCGCGCGGATTTGAGCATTGTCTGGCAGCGCTGCGTGTTGCACACGGACTGCTGCATGTCTCCTGTTCCACACGAGCTCTTGATCCAGTTTCTGGTCGCCAACTTTGAGCTAACATTTAGAAGATGCAACCAACTGGAGCAAGAGCTCGTACTGCGCCGAGCGCTGCAAAACAAGTGAAGCGCCAACGCGCACGGCCGATTCGACCAAATGATATCAGCGAAGCCGCCGGCGTGCGCTCGGGTTTTCCCTGGCGCACTGGCACAGCGGTAAAGCTGAAGCGATACGGCACCAACCAAACTGCGAAGCTGCACGCACAGGTAACAGGGTTCCTCGTATGTCCCCCACTCAACAAAAAGACAATACGCTCACAAATGGTCAAAAGATCATTGCTTTGCCTGGCCAAAGGGGAAATATCAGGAGCCCAAACGGACATCTGAATTCACCAAGTCCCATCCTCAGTCAAGCATAGAGCCTGAGTGCAGCAAGTGGACGAGACTCACAGCATCCTCCTCGAAACCACCAACCAATGAGTGCACAAAAGGAAAAAGTGGTATTTCCGGGTGCAAAAGGCTCGGAATACAGAAACAGGCAAGTTGTCTGGCGTCTTTAGGCTCAGATTGGTTTGGTCACACGAAATGGGATCTGAGCAGGCGGATGCGAATTCTTATCTGGTTCTTGAAACCTCCATTTTGCTCGTTTGCTTGTTAAGTGGGCAATTGGTCAATTCACAAATTGAAATGTGTAATTGGTGGGCTGGATTGGTTTGGAGGTGTTGCGGCAACTCCCATTTGCCTGCGAAAAGGGGGTTCAAACCCCCAGTTCCCGCTGACCACCAAAGGGATACCTGTTGTCGGAATCCCAAGAAACCCTTCATCTTCATGGGCCCATCCCTCGTTTTGCAGCAGAAAGTTGCCAGTGCTGAGCATGCGCCAGTCACGGATTCCATCAGGATCAACGTATGGTCTAAGAGCCTGAAAATTTAGCTGAAACAATTTCCATCCCCCTTTGTTTCTTTTGGACAATGAACAATTCTTGGCCATTTGGCACCCTAAAATTGGGGTTTGAGTGTACTTTGAAACCAAATTTAGTGATCCTCCTATAGATGTGTGTGTGTGTGTGTTCTTTCTCAAAATAGGATATGCACCCCGCAGGTATTGTATACTACCTTTGAGGCCACCGGCCCCTGCCCGCCCTCCACATATTTACTTGTAGACACTGTGTGTGGTGCTCGTTGGCTTCCGTTCCAAAGAAGCACCAAGAGGCGCGACCCGCTCTGAGGCTGCCACCTTGTCATGGCTATCGCCGCTTCCCACAGCAGGCGGTCGCAAACACGCACCTAGGCCAAACGGGGCCTCCAGCTTGGATATTTCTTCCCAGGCAAATGTGCCAGGGTGGGGTGGGTGGGGTGGGTGTCTTGGTGGGGTGGGTGGGGTGGGTGGGGTGGGTGGGGTGGGTGGGGTGGGTGGGGTGGGTGGGGTGGGTGGGGTGGGTGGGGTGGGTGGGGTGGGTGGGGTGGGTGGGGTGGGTGGGGTGGGTGGGGTGGGTGGGGTGGGTGGGTGGTGGGTGGGTGGGTGGGTGGGTGGGGTGGGTGGGTTGGGTGGGTTGGGTGGGGTGGGTGGGTGGGGTGGGTGGGTGGGTGGGTGGTGTGGGTGGGTGGGGGTGGGTGGGTGGGTGGGTGGGTGGGTGGTGGGTGGGTGGGTAGGTGGGTGGTGGTGGGTGGGTGGGTGGGTGGGTGGGTGGGTGGGTGGGTGGGTGGGTGGGTGGGTGGGGGTGGGTGGGTGGGTGGGTGGGTGGGTGGTGGGTGGGTGGGTGGGTGGGTGGGTGGGTGGGTGGGTGGGTGGGTGGGTGGGTGGGTGGTGGGTGGGTGGGTGGGTGGGTGGGTGGGTGGGTGGGTGGGTGGGTGGGTGGGTGGGTGGGTGGGTGGGTGGGTGGGTGGGTGGGTGGGTGGGTGGGTGGGTGGGTGGGTGGGTGGGTGGGTGGGTGGGTGAGATTCGTGTGGATGGCCAAAACCGAAAAAGATATGGAGATGTTTGGCCATCTGGCCAATGTCCATGCTGCAGTTTCCAGCAGAACTTGCCATGCTGGGGATATTTCAGCTGCATGGCTGTGGAGAGCCCTTCCACACATCCGGTATTTCTGATGCCTAAGGGGTCCCAAAAAGACACAACCACATGCCGGTTTGGGCCTTTCAACTCATGGTTGTCGACTCATAGGATGGGCATGAGTCTTCAGGGAAATGTCAGATGACCCTTGGAGGCGGTCGTTTTCCCTCACCGGTTTCCAGGGAACACATCAACATCCAGGCTCGTTGAACAGCTCCGGGCACGGAGAACCTGTTGACATCGTTGGATCCGCAGTGCTTAAAGGGTCAACACAACAGGTCTGCCTTGCCACCGAATGTTCCATCATGCAAAACCAAGAGTTTCCTACTATGGAAACTGCAAACACTGGGTCAAGCAACTGAACTTGCTTCTTTTCGGGATGGGAGGAAAGGCGGAGTTGGCCACCAACTTCTCAAATTATGTTCTTCGCAAGTTTCACCAAACGACCCAAAGCTTGACTGGACCTTCAGAAACTCGACGAGGGGCAATCTTAGGCCCCTAGGTGCGTCCCGTTCAGAGGGGCCCTTACCCCCATTCAAAGGGTCCTTCAGCGTCAGCTTGGGTGAGCAAATTTCGAGGGCAGGACATCAGTGCTGGCAAAAATTGGAACTGAAACCAGACCCTGGTCCAATTCCGTAGGGAGAGGCTGCTTCAACAACCGTGGTTTCAATCGTCGAAACAACAGAATGGCCCAACTTGGCTGCCATGGTCCGAATCTTTGCATCTCACTTTCTGCCAAACTGTGTCTTTTCCACCGACCGTTAAAACAAACGAAGCTGACTCGCGCACAACTCGCCCCCCAGCGCCATGGCTCCCCACCGACCGACCGGGGAGTTCCTTGCCGAAGGGCCGCCAAGCTTTGCAGCTGAGAAGTTGCGCAAAAGAGGGCGGCCAGAACCACCAGCAGCGCCACGAGGCGCGGCCTGAGGAACGGAGACATGGCTTCCTCTTGGGGGAGAAGCGTTTTTTTCTTTCTTTCTTTTTTAAAATTCAGCTCATTCGAAGGGGAACCAAACGGAGACCAAAGGGACCAAAATTGGACCGTTCCTTTACTAGCGGTCTAATTTCCTTTGAAGTTTGGTCATCTCGCAGCCTGGATTGGCCTTTTGTGGGGAAAGGACCACTAAAACGGCCCAAACCCGGAAAGGGTCTCAAGTCCGAAACGGAACTCATGAGGACCAGGCTGTGATGGTGTGGCTCCAAGCAGTGAGTTGGTGCGGTTGGTTCGAAGGGAAACCAAACGGATACCGGAATTGGACCGGACCAAACGGGTGAGCCATTCAAATTCATTGTACCTTTTGGGGTTCTCTGAAAAGCAAAACTTGAATGAAACAACGATGCCAATCTTGTGGGTTCCACTCTCCTGACTTGAGACAAAATCAGATGAGTTCGATTCAATCCCACACCCCATACAAGACACAAGGACAATCTGAAGGATGGTCAAGGCCGCCCTGCATACCGTTTGGGTTGGCACAATTTCTCAATAACCTCTATGACTACTTGAAATTTGGGTGTCTTTTCTGAATTCTTGTTGGTTTCCCTTTAAAACCAACCAAATCAAGTTCCCTCAAACAAAGACACCCCCATTTTCAAGACTGAAACCTGCGGTCCCCCCCAGACCCCCAGTGAACATCCCAATCCCCACTAAAATCGACTAAACTGCGTGGTGCACCTACCCCAAAATGGTACCATTGGTTTTGACCCACAGCCATTTGAGTTTGATGTCTTGGGTCATCCCACAGCATTCCGGACACCTAAACATCCTTTTGATCGTGCAATGTTCAGGCGTTCAAAGCCTGGCAGTGCTCAAACGCACTCTCAAAATGGTCAGTACTAGTACTGTGGATGGACGACATCCTGCACCAGTTGCGATGGATGAAGCCTACGAAGATTGCGATAAACCGCCAATTCCAACTGGTGAAGAGAGGACTATTGTCTATCAGTAATTATATTAAGAGTCCCAGATCCATGGGGTTTAGACCTTACCTCAATTTATCTCAAATTATCTCAAATTATCTCAAATTATCTTATTTTTGCATCTAATGTGCAAAAAGATGCCAAAAAAATGCAAAAAGATGCAAAAAAATGCAAAAAGATGCAAAAAAGTGCAAAAACATGCAAAAAATGCAAAAACATGCAAACAAGTGCAAAACATGCAAAAAAGTGCAAAAAAAACACAATGCAACAAAATGCCAAAAAAACTGCAACAAAATGCAAAAAAAATGCAACAAAATACAAAAACATACAAAAAGAGTGCAAACACAATGCAAACATACATGACACAAATGCAAACAAGGACAAACACATGCAAGAACATACAACATGCATTAAGTGTGTGTCACTCA